TGAAGATTCATGCTTTGAAATCTCTTTATCTAACAAGCAAAAGCCATCCTCAGAATCATAAGAGCCACTGACATATTTGATCTGAAGGGAAGAAAAAAGGGAGAAAAATAGTAAACAGTTGAACAGGCAGAGTATTTTTAGCGAGAAACTTTACATAAAATTTAAAAATAGTGCAAGAAAGAAGATAGTTCTAACCAGCTGCAAAAACTTTGATAAATCATCCAGCTGCTCAGGAGAAGCATCTTTGTCATGAACAAGATAGCTGCATCCCAAAGGATAAAAAATACATGAAAACTAGTAAGATAGGATGAAGCGTATTGTAAAGCAACTTAGTGAAAGACTCGGCAATCAAATACAAGACCCCAAAAAAAGATCATTAAACAAACTTCCCAAGGCACAGTAAATATTTACAGCTTATACATCGCTTAGTACATTAGCCAATTTCAAAGATACAAATAATAGTGCAAATGACTTCTATTTGCAAGTAATTAACATTATAATAGTTTTCAAACATGAGAAAGTCACTGATTTTGATAGAAATATTTTTACTTGTTTTGGAAATGCAGAGGAACAGTGTAGATTTTAAAATAAATGATCTCACCCACGCAAGCGGTTTCTCAAGTCATCATCAGAGATGTTTGTTCTGGCATAACCATAAATATGAACTTCATTTGATGGTAAAAATCCCTGCGAAAAGATCCAGCAAAATTCAGAAGAATTTACACTGGTTTCTTGAAGAGAAGCAGAAGGTTAGTGAAAAATATTCAGTCATCCTTCATGAAAAGAAAATAATTTAGGAATAGATACTTTTTTTTTTTAATCTTTAATAGACAGAGTTAGAAGTAAACACTTAATGTTAGATAACAAGCAAGCAAACATTCTGAATAGTGATGACAGTTTCAACTAGAGTCTGATCGGAGTCACAAAACCTTGAGATATTTTCCATTAATGTTTTTCCTTTAATCCATCAGTAGTATGATCATCTATATTACATCCTTCTTTGTGTTTTACCTCAGTTTTATACCACAAACTAATCATTTGTGTAGGTCAATGAACCTAAAATGAAGGACACCAAACCTGCTGATATAGGTGGAACAGAGCAGGAAAAGTCTTCTTCTTAGCAAGGTCACCGGAAGCACCAACCACAACAATGGCGAGACACCTAGTTTCAGGAACATCTTCTACCTCTCCCGACAGGGAAACACTTTGAAGGCTAGATCCTTTTTCAAAGTGCCGTTTACTTGATCCCATGTTATAGCAGAGTTAGAAGGCTAAAATTGCCTTGCAATATATTGGTATGATCCACAGTAGCTTTTATCTGCATCAAATCATGTGAGAAGCAAGTAAATATATCCTGCTTTATTACTGGACAGAAATTAAATTAGATCATGAAGAGTGCCAACCAGCAGCAGGGATGACATTTAGTTCTCTATGACAGATAATCAGCATAATTCACCGGCTGCCTAATGATAAGTTCCTAGAGTAATATATTACTTTCTGATATGAGTCAAGGAAAATTTGTGGAAAAAGAAACGTGGCCATGATATACAATCAACCCAATAAGTGTTTTAACTTATTTTCTTAGAGAGATAAACTGCTACTTCACTGCAGAATATTGTAAATAATTCCCAAGTTTGCAACAGGACAGTTCCCGGGGGGGGGGGGGACTCATTTCCAGCTGTACAAATAGAAGATACTTGCGTGGATATAACTTTTTTAATTGCAAGACACATTAAGTATAAATAAATCTACCCTCGCAAGCCAAGAGACGCTACGTTAAATTAAAACAGCACTCCATATAAGCATTATGATTCACAGAACACAGAGAGAAGAAAGATATTGAAGAGAAGCAAAAGAAGTCTCTCAAGGATGCAGATTAAGGTAGAGGTAAAAGTACCAGCTTGGTGCAAAATGCGACGAGGCACCCGAGGTTTCAGAGGTTGGATATCCATTTCATTATCTGAACATGGTCGCCTGCTTCACTAATTCTGTCCAAAGGCATATTGATTGTCAAACGCCCAAGCACGTTGTCGATACTGTGGATTAGAGAACGCTAACGAATGTATGTCGCTTTCCCTAGTCTCTGTTATTACCCCGATAGACAACACGAAACTCGAGGCTGGAATTTGTAAGTATATAACTATATATTTATATACAGATTTTTTGTTTTTCCTTCTCCCCCATCACCTCACCTCTTCCATTCTTTGCTGGAAGAGGATAAGGCATCAACATGCAGATCACGTGTCGAAGACACACCGATTGTTTGATACAGTTTTGAGCATATAGTATCCCTTATATGAAAGGAAATATGACAGTCAGCTACTAATGGTTAAATTAATCACAATTAAATTATCAATTTTTTTTTAAAAAATGAGTTTTAAATATTAATATAAACAATACAAATACTTATTTACAATTAAATTTTTTAAATTTATAATTATTTAAATTGATATTTTTAATTTATTTTTTTAAAAAAATTTGTGAGATTTTAATTGTCATTAATTTAATATTTTGATATTTAATTGTCATTTTTCCTTTTTTGAAACCCTTTTTACAATTTTTTAATAAACAGTGAAGTTAGTTATACAATTTATATTTTGTATTAATCAGATTGGTTTGTATTAATATATTATTGATGATGACTAATAAAGTAATAAACATTATGTATATATGTATATATGTTTATGTACTCTTTCAGTTTTTTTTATAAATCATTTCTATTAACATCATCAATATCAAAAAAAAAATTATAAGGAGTAAAAGCGTATAAAATTTTAAATGTTCTCCTATATAAAAAATTTAAAAAGTGATCATATTTTTTTTATAAAGAGTAATTTTAAAAATATTTTTTAAATATAATTTAAAAAATTACATCTTAATTTATAAATAAAATTGAATAAACTTTTTAAAAGATATCTTATAAATGAAATAAAAGAAACTCTATATGTATGTACGTACTTATCTGATGTCCCAACTCCCGACTATAAATTTGTACTTGTAATTTATCGTATCTATGACATGAGTAACGTACGGGACCGTTATTTGCAAATGCTTCCCTGCCCAAAAATGGTACTTTTCACGATTGGTTGCTTTATCTTGTCAGCACGCTTGATCGGAGATTTGGGGTCCCTTCACTTTTTTTTCTTTCATTTTTTTTCATTTTCCCATTCTCACTATTCATTAATTTTATCATTTAAAAAATAATTTAATAAAATAATTTAAATGATAAGGATTGAAAAAATAGAGAAAAAAATATAGAGAGACCCCTCTCTTCCCGTGGTAGGATAGGACAGATCGCAAAGCTTTAGGTTCGTATGAATGGCTGAAAAGATCCGCCATAATGGAATGAAAAAAATAAAAATACGAAATTGAAATAAAAAAAGGGTAAGAACAATTTTTGATAGCGTATAATTTTTTGGTTTCCGTTTGGTATGAAATAAAAAATAAGAATGTCATTTTATATTTTTTAGTCAGATAATGTAATATAAAAGAAATATTTAGCAAATTATATAATTTCCTCACTTAAGAAATGGATTAAGTTATAGTTTTTTCCGTGAATTTGAGGGGAAATGTGAATCCTGCTAATAAAAATTTGTAAATCTGATGTTTGTTTGAAGATGGATTCAGTTTGGCAGGGGATATAAGCAGCGTTATTAGAGAGTGTGTGGGAACTTGTAAATCTGAAGCCATGTTCTAAGTTGATGCTTCAAGTGAAATGGGTATTGATGTTAAATGAGAACCTCTTGACCTTGGGTGGTGCAAATTAAATTTTGATGGTGCTGCAAGGGGATTCTAGAATGGCTGGATGTGGTGGCGTGTCAAGAGATAAAAATAGTGTTTGGGCTGGGGCTTTTGTGAAGAAATTAGGTGAATGTTCTGCATTTAATGTTGAGTAATGGGGTGCTTTATGTGGGGTAAGATTGGCTAAAGAAGTTGGAGTTGAGAATCTGATAATTGAAGGTGATTCTCAGGCTGTTATAAGTATTCTTAAAAGGGCATGGGAAGAAGAATATGATGATAGCAGACTGCTTGTTGATTTATTTCTGGCTGAATGTATCTAGTTCAAGAAATTGTAGTTTCAACACGTTTAGAGAGAAGGAAATAAATGTGCAGATTAGTTAACCAGCTACAGCTTTAATTTTGGCTATGATTTTGTTAGGCTTGTTACGCCTCCCGCTCATATGAAAATTTTGCTGTACAGTGATGTTGTCGGTGTTGTTTACCCAAGGGAAGTTCTTATTAATAAATAAGTATGGGCTACGCCCTCATTCACCAAAAACCCGGGGGGGGGGGGGGGGGGGGAGAGTACGCAGACCCATAAAATGTATATTGGTGCCGCAAATTGCACTGTCGCGATACGAGCTTTGTGGTGGACAAGCCTCCTCCTCGCAAGGAAAGATGGTCAAGATCAGTAAAGCTTCTCTGGAAGATGATGTTGTCACCAACACTCAGGACTTTGACAGAAAGTAAATAGAAGAAGCAACATGTGATATGGACACAGTCCTAAAATGAAAGGGCAATTCACTCTTTGAACATTCTTAGAAGCTGAGAGAGAGAGAGAGAGAGAGAGACCCAAACATTGATCTGCAGATGTTCTTCCCTGCGAAAATCCTAGCAACTGGGGAGACTGTGATTGGATTTTACTTGCGTTTGGTTAAGATTAATAGAGGCAAATAAACATCATAGGAACACGTCACCCGAGAGAGAGAGAGAGAGAGAACAATTTAGTAACATGGGAATACCCATGTTTATGAGATCTAAATTAGTAGCTGTATTAGAATCGGCTTAAGACGACATAGAACAAATATGGATATCGCTCTTTTTTTCTACCCTTCTCACTGTATGTCATTCATTTGCTGTATGCAAAACATAAGCTCCCCTTGCCAATCCCAAACGGCTATGCAAGGAAAAATTGAACGCAACCCCTTATCACCACGACATTTTTTTGGGCCAAAATCATCATGACATTTGACCACGTAGAAACGCTAACGAATCCAGAGTTTCGGGAGGGAATTCATCATTTTGATATCGTATACAAGATGGGTTACATTAGGCTAAGGGGGAAACCAACATCCCCTATAGTCAAAATATAGTTATGCTTTAAATACAATATAAAGCCCATCCAAGCGACATCCTGCAGCGTCAACAATTTCCTCAAATGTCTACAACCAACAGTTTAAAAGCCCGGCGTCTCATCAACATACATATGCTTGAGTTCAGTTTCAAGTCCTCTTGATCTTTGAAAATGTTCCTGTTTCAGAAAAGTAAGTGCTTTGAGTTCCGCTACCAAGTTGGTGTGCATGAGCCTGTGGATTTGTCAGCTCGATCCCCTGCACAAGAAGGAAAACTAGTTGGGTCATCCATGGGAGACATGCATGTATACGGATAAAAAGCCACCCATGTAGCCCCCAGGGGAAATGCTAAGTAAGCTTGAACACATAATTTCAACACAGGAACAATCTAAGCAGAAGTGACCCACTATACATTATCAAATGAGACATCTTTTTTTTTCTGTGCGATGCACGAAAGAGATAATAACTCAAGACTTACTCTTCTTTCTAACACAGTGGGCCAAAGCATTTGCAAAATGTCCAAGAAAAGTTGCATTATTCATAACTTGTAAATTACGCCATAAATTTTATATTTTATATTGATATTGATGATTAGAGAGTTTTCCCAAGTGCTATTCCATATAATTCCTGCGGGATGCAACGTAAAATACACAAACATGCATTAGAAAACGATAAAGGAAAGGGTACAGAAAACTTTCTTTTGAAAGCAGCTATTTTTTTTTTTTTTTTTTTATGGCCAACAATGAAAGCTTGCTTTTGAAAAACGATGAAAGCAGCCAATTAAGCACCCCAGACCAGCAAACGATATAAAGATATGATCATTCAAGCATCTCTCCTACATTCATGATAGAAGTCTTGCAGCATGAATAAAGTTCAATTTTTTCTTAGGGAGCAGAGATAGAGTAAGATAACAGAAATGGGAAAATATTGGTAAAGATAATTTCCATTACTAAAAAAGAAATATTTGTAAATATAATATCACAGAAATGGAGGAAAATATCCTCCCAAGCAAGGGACAGAATATAGACATTACAAAACCCAACACGTCAATACAACAAAGGTGACCGATCCCTCAGACTATGTTAAAAAGGTTAGAAACCCAAAGAAATGACAAAAATTATCTTGCCCTGTTTTAGTAATGGCCAGGAATAATTCTTGAAAAACAAGCATTTTGCTCAAAGAAAAGACAGAAAGGCACAAGCATAGATAGCATCCCATAAAGCATTTTAATCTATAGTTCTACCAAAGCCATTGATGCTAAGCAGAAGAAACTGCTCCAATTTAAGAGGGCACACAATGAATTCACCAAAGACACCAAATAAGCTAACCCATGAAGACAGTGGTTCTAGGACAGCGCAAAAAACAAGAAGAAGCCATTTAATAAAAGCTAGAGCAATAGCTGAGCTACACTTGACAGGCTGACACACTTATCAGATGAGATGGCATAGTGATAGTAACCTGCACAGGTGTAAATGCTAGACTTGATGTCAAACCAGATGTGGCACCACTGCTACCATAATTCTTTTCCTTGAATCTGACAAAAGTGAGATAGTGCATCAGTTTTGTTATTGCTGTTGGACAGGATAATAGTACAATTGAGACAAAAACAGTGGTCCAACTCTTGCTACAATTCAACGGCCAAAAGAAAAAGCTATCGCCATAATTGCAGCATAATCAAATACTTACACATAATAAAAATAAATTAAACCAAAAGCCTGACCAAGGACTTACTTCTTAGCAACTTTTGCTGCAAGCTTGCTTTGACCAACTGACACACGAAGCTTGCCACTGCCAGCCTGACCAAGCATTCCATAACCTTCTCCAAGACCATCCCCTATAATGCAATAGCAAATGAAAATAAGGAAAGAAGGCAGAAAGGTAACAAAATTACAACACAATTTTGAAAAAATTATGTCCTTGACATCATTGTGAAAATAAATTAGATCAACGTAAGTAAATTGTGGTAAAATTTACCCAAAGAGCTCTCTTCAGGGATGCCAAACAACATCCTATTCGCTAACTTCCTCATGTCTGTAACTGCATACCTGAAAAAGAATTAAAAGGTCAACCATGGAAAAGAAACCAAAGGGCGGAGAAGAATAAAAAGCCCTGGACCCACAATTACAAAAGAAAAAAGGCATTGGCAAATAAAGGTGAGGCTGAGACTGACCTTTCCTTCATCTTCCTCAGCCGACGACCACCCCTCTTTTTTTTAGGTTCTGAATCAGGTACTGGAAGAGGTTTAGGTTGCTTTGCAGGTGGAGGCTCTTGCCACTTCTCAATCTTCTTATGGATCTCTTCCTTAAAGGCCCTCCCTGTGTTCCCAGATGGATCACCCCGTGTTGAATCTACCCGTGCTGCAAGTGTAGACTTTGCAGCCAACAGTCGGCAAGCACGCATCCTCAGAGGAGGAGGAGTAGTTTGAAAGATTTCTGTTTGCTCAATGTAACCTACACGAAATTGAGATGTTGCAGTGGAGAAACCAGCAAGATTCTTTTTCTTGGCACCAAGAAGCTGGACATTACAAGCAGGCATCTTTGCCAAAGCTACTAAACCACCTGCTGTGCCCATGAGTTTAGCTGCAACAGCACTTCCAACAATAGCAGAAAGATTAGGTGCAATGTACCCCATTCTACTCTCAACAAAATCAAGAACCTTTTTCTTTGCTGCATCAAGAGTAAGAGCTCGATCACAGGCATCAACTGTCTTATTAAGGACTTCTTCTGGAAGTGGCTTGCCACTAGTAGTTGATGCTGTAACTGATACAACCATGATAATAGCAGAGGGCAAGAGCCCTTCTAGATCAACAAGAGTCAGATCTGTTTCATTTCCAATCTTCTTAACAACACGTGCATAATCAATTGGGTGATGCACAAGTGATTCAAGCTCAGGAAATTTCAAGCGATATTTGTCACGGATAAAATTATGGATGATAACAATTTCATTCTCAATATCAACTGATAATGCATTGCATTCCACAATTAGTTGGTATTCAGGATCGTCTTCTAAGTCTATCCCATGACTTGAGACATCTGAACCCTTTTGAAGTGCTTCTTCCACTTTCTGCCATTTAAAAAAAAAAATAAAAGGAATACTCTCTAATTATTTTATCTCCAACATCAATGAGAGTAGAGATTTAATTTTCTGGGAGAATAACACTAAGCAATTGATGTTAAAGAAGCGAGCTGATGAGAAATAAGAAACAGACAGACTCCTCGTATAGATTCTATATATAACAACAACAAACAGGTTCCACTTTTGCAGCAGCAATATAAGGGCTAAAATTTCAATTGCAACAAACACGGAGACTGAAAAGTTTATGCTATAATAACAGAGAGATAAGCAGCCCACAACTGACTAACCTGCATAACATCAATGTATCTCTGAGTTTTCTGCAGTTTTGAAACACTATCCAAGTCATCGTAATTAAGATTTTCAATGTCAGCCATATCTCCATCAATATCTTCCTCCATATCCGCGGTATCAACATCGTTATCCTCCTAATAGGAAGGCGCAACGACAGCTATCACTTGCCTAATTCCTCAAATTTGATGTAAACATACATAAATTATACTCACGGGAATTTCAGCCTCATTGTCGGATAGTTCGTCGAGGTCCGCGAGGAAAGAATCAGCAAGCGTCGCCTACAAACAATCGAGCACCAAAAACAAAAAAAAAAAATCCAAAATATAAAATATCTATTGTGAGATAACGTAGACGCTTTGATAATAAAACAAGCAGGGATGTAACAGAACATATTTCCACAAAAATACCTCCCTGCAACAACAATCAAAAGCTTACCATTTATGAGGTGCAAGAGGACGAAGATAGCAATAAAGATGATACGCTGGTTGGAGCCTTAATGGCCTAGGGTTAGTATACTGAGAGCAAATTATAGGTTAGAGATTTCGATGGGGATGGAGACTTTTACACCAAGGTTTCCCCGGGCTTAAGTTCCAGTTCTTTCTTTTCCTTTTCCCGATTGGTGCTTTTTCACTTTCTCTTAGGCTATGTTTGGTTGGAAGGGAGGAGAGAAAAAGGTTTTTACCCCCTGTGAAATAGATCGGATTTTTTTTTTTTTTAAGTATTTCTGTAGCATTTACTTAGAAAAACCTGTAGAGGACGCCCGGCCCAGCCCATTCAAAAAAGCGGTCCGTCAGGCATGGTATCTTCACTTGATGGTCTAAAAACCAATGAAAATTTTGACCGAAGTGAAGAAAAAAACAAGCACAAGCCCATAGCCAAAGGGGTCGCCGTTGTATTAAGAAAAATCAAAATCAAAATTATTATTATTATTTTTGCCAGATTCAAAATCAAGAACCTGCCCCTCCCTTCTCAAATTTCTGATCCATTTTGTGATAAGAAACTAGCATGGGGACCTGCGTCTCAGACATTCCAAGGTTACGGAGGAATGAACAAAAATACAAAAAGTAATATCCCAGGATCAGAGAGAAGAAGGAAGCAACAGACAAGGAGGAGGAAGAAGGAAAAGAAAGAAATTCATTATCACTATCTAACACACACGGAGAAGGGGTTTGGAGTTTGGTTATGATGATGGACAGAGAGAGGGAGAGAGAGATGGAGCTGGAGAGTGCAATGTACTCTAACTGTTTGTTGTTAGGTCTTGATCCGGCAATAATCGGAATCGGATGCTCCGGTGGCATCCCTCGAGTTGGGCTCTTCCGCCATTCCAACCCCAAATTGGGTGAACAGCTCCTCTACTTCATTCTTTCCTCCCTTAGAGGCCCTATTCTATCCGCCAGAGTAATCCCTCTATTTTATCATTTACAATTCTGCCAATTTCACGCTAGCAAAGTATCCAATATCCCTATGGCAGTTCGCACAATTTGATGGACGAATCCTACTTTTAAGCACGATCTATTTCTGTTCCACTGGATGACTTGTTCGATCTTTCAGGATTTCGATAAGGTTTGGCCAATTTTTGATTCGGCGCAATCACGTGATTTTCGTAAGGTATAAAATAATTGGCTAAAAATTAGTGCTAAATTTTTATTTTTCGAATTATGGTTCTGGATTTGCGTTTAATTCAGATATATAGATTTACTTAACAAGTTAAAATTTGAAAAGCTTTTAGATAGTGCTGTGATAACTTTACCAGGTTGTTCAAGGGATTATTAGTGAGTTCGAGTCTCAGGGTGCACTCCCGCGGAGCAATTCAAGGGTTTCTTCACTTGCTACGTGTTGTGGACCTAGGTTAGTGGCGGGTAGTTATTTGTTAAAATTTGAATTAACTCATCATTCATTACAACAGGTCCAATTGATTGGAGCCTTTAGCTTTCACGACTCATGATCCTAATCATTAAATAAAACACGAGATAAAGTGCCTCACATGTTCGCCTTTCCACTTTATGATAACAAGAATCAAAGTGCTTTTATAGTTAGTGAAGAGATTGTGTAGTGTGGAATGAAATTAATGGATAATTTCTGTTTCTGGAACTTGAAGAGAGTTATTGTAAATAACTTCTGCATCAAGCAAGTGGCACAGAACTAGTAAAATACCTCTTTATTAATTGCTAGGATGCCATGAGGCGAATTGAAGCACATTGCTTGGACAATTCAATTTCAACTAGAATTAGTTTTTGAAGTTATTTGGTTTTACGATGTGGTGCAGGTTTGTTGAACTTCTATGGCAACTTTCATTGCATGCTTTGCAGGAGGTTCATAAACAAACATTTGCAGCTGATGTTGCATCTAACCCGCTGCCTGCACCATTGACTGATGTAGCGTTTTCACATGCAGCTACGCTACTTCCTGTGACAAAGGTATAATTGATAACCCATCAAATTTCTCCAACAGATGTTTTGATATATGTGGCATTGTAATTGTTATTAGAAAAATCTTGGCTTGTTTATGTGGAAGTGAGTTTGAGCATTTATGATCTCTCCTTGGAGACATTTATTTCTTTCATGTGAACATCTTGAAGTCTTGTATCCATGATAGCAGTACAAAAATATCCAGGGAGTTCACTTATACCATGAATGTTACAATAGAAGCTATTCATCTTTGTTATCCTTTTGCCTGATTGTTACTTGAGTGGGTGGCTTGTCTTGAAACAGGCAAGAATAGCCCTTGAAAGAAGGAAGTTTCTCAAAAATGCAGAAATGGCCGTACAACAGCAGGCAGTGTGGTCAAATTTGGCTCATGAAATGACTGCTGAATTTCGTGCCCTATGTGCTGAAGAGGTATGGTAATCATGGAAATCTCCTTAAAGAATAAGGCTTTGTAGCACCATCTATGAGTTTATCTCTTCTGTCTGGGAGTATGTTTCTATGTATTTATCTTTTATACAATGGCAATGTAAAACCTGGATTCAGGCTTATTTGCAACTAGAGCTGGAGAAACTACATGACTTGAGGAATAAAGTGAAGTTAGAAGGAGAACTATGGGAAGAACTTGTATCCACCTCCAGTCAAAATTCCCATTTAGTTTCAAAGGCAACTCACCTATGGGAGTCTTTATTAGCTCATAGAAGTAAGTACAAAGGTCATTATTACCTTGTTTTTAGCATTATTCTAACTGTTCATATCAGTCTAGTGCCCTCATATTTAACACATTTTTTCATGAGATGTTTCAAAAATTCATGGAATTTGAACTCGTGGGAAAGCACGTCAATTCTCTTGAATTGTAAAATTCATTGTTAAAAATGTTTGAATGTGGAATTTAATTACAAAATTTTATGAAACATGATATTCAACACGTAAATGATTTTGCATGCATTAAAAGAAGTCAAATAATATATTGATAGAGAAAACAAACAATTGAAGTTCAAACCATTAAAAAACGATGAGAAAGATAGAATGAAGAAATCAGTAAATTCTGTACCATAATTGGATAAATTAGCTTTATCAGTTCCTTCCATTTTATCCATTGGTAACCCCAAAAAAAAAAAAGTTAACTAAAAATTTTAAAAACTGCTACAAGCAGAAGACCCAATAATATCAAACTAGTGTTTTGACCAAGCATATATAAATTTAAGATGATTTCATACAGCTTCATCAAGAAACAAAAACCCTCCCAAGCCATTTATTATTTGTATACGTAAATCATAAATCCAGAAATACTGCTACCAAATCAGAAACAAAAACCTCATACTTCTCCTTTGGTCTCTGTTTTTTTATATCATATAAAATTGCAAGGTCTGTACACCAGAAGAGAAAAACATTATGTGCATGATCTTGCCAATATATAATAGCATGGTCCCAAGCAAGAAGAATCTATGCACACAAAATGCGTACATTCAGTTCACAGTGAGCAACTATTTTTATTTTTCTTTATTTCAATTAAGAAATTGAGACTAGCTAAGGATAATTCCGACTTCTAGTTATGTAAATGTTCAGATCAACATGAAGTTCTTGCATCTGGTCCTCTTGAGGACTTGATAGCTCATCGTGAACATAGGTAATGTAGTAATTTAGCCTGCCTTGTCTTTTTAATATATGTCAACCTGACTTTACTGACTGACTATGTGATGAATACATCTCAGGTATCGAATCTCTGGCTCCTCTTTGCTTGCAGCAATGGGCCAGAGCTCTGATGCTCCTATTATGAATGTAATATATGGTCAGCCCGGCGATTTTCCTACTGTGCATATTGATGACAGTGAGGAGAGTGATGGATCATATCTTAGCAAAGAGACATCGACAAGACTGGCTGATAAAATTGGTAAATTTCATCAAGAAGTTGATGTAGCAGAGGTTATATGGCGCTGGACACATGCTTTGCAACTTATTCATAAACAATCACTTCATTTGGTAGACTCCCTCTACACTGTTATTTAGATGATGCCAGGTTTTGCCCTTGAGATGGGGCGTTTATTGCTCATTTCCGTTTTTTATTTGTGGGATTGGAGTTTCAAATTGTTTGACTGTAAGGTCCTTTCAATTGTAGTTATATGTGCTCCAGAACATCTAAAAATGGGTAAGGTGGCTGGGAAGGATTGAATGAGCAATTCCAGTCAATAACTACCTTGGTAGTGCAGGTGAGAGGTGGTGATCTGCAGGAGTGTGAAACAAGTGCTAATAGATCTAGTTGTGGGCAGCTTTGTGGCTAAAGGGGTTTGAAGAATTTTGGGGAAGAGGACTTTGGGAGAGTGCTAACCTCTTGAATGCTATCAGCTCTATTATAACATATTCATTTTCTTTTTCCTTCCTTTTGTCAGTTTATTGCTGTTAGTGTTAATGGAAATACTGTGGATATACTGAACTCATGGTTTTCTTTGGTTAATATTGGCTGTTGAATGTAATATTTGTATCTGGGTAGTTTTTTTTTCCCCAGAATTTTTGTGTTGCTGTGTGGGTATAAATTTCGGTTAGAGGAAAGTACTGTCAGCTACTGAGCTATATGATGCCATGATATTCAAAATTCTTATGTATGATCTGACAGTTGAGAATTGCTGTAGCAAAGGTAGATGTGGTATTTCATAAAAGTTAACAAGGCTAAAAGGTGATGTGAGATCCTATTGAGTTTTTGATAGTGTAAGATAACAACCAAAATGGTTTCATCCTATAATGCCTCCTTAGTATACCAAACACCTCCTTGGTAACATGACACTTTCTAGCCTTGTTGATTCCTTATAGAAATTAATAACGTTGCTATGATCTGTAGGCAAAAGCAAATGATGGAGAGGGTCCTGATATACTGCAAAGTACACTAGAACGTGGCTCAAATGACCATGCAGAGTCGTTAGCTGCAACTCTTGCTGAACATCAGCAACATTTGGCTAGCTTTCAGGTTTGCATTCAAGCATTTTCAGTTTTTCACCAGCCCCTTTACCGAGGTTAAGGATTCTTTATTAGCAAAGGAGTCGTTTATGGGAGTAGAGGAATTACACTGTTTTGATATTTTTTTTTAGAACCTGGACAAGGGATTGTATCTGTATGATTGTCTCTATTTTTCCCATTCTTCGTCCACTTTTGGTGGACTGTGTATTCTTTCAAGGAGCAAACAGTTGGACACTACTATTTATTTTAACCTTTCAAATTGCTTTTTAATTGATGTTCAAGGTTTAGTTTTATGATGTATTTGTCTTGGCGGGAAGTCCAGTGTAGAAAAGTGAATTTGCAAGGTCTGCCTTCTGCTACTGAGCAAATATTACTGGACGGGCAATGTAGAATGCAAGATATTTGTATTGCTATGGAGAAGTTGCACGCCCTTCATCAATTAACTTCTGATTCTAGCCTTCTATTTTGATATGTTATAGTTTGATTCCATATTGGTCCTTCTCATTTTTGGGAGGAGGGATTGAGAATCTCATGCGATATGCTTAGGAGATTTCTCTCTCTGGATATTTTCAAATTCTTGCACTTTTCTTGTCCAGGTGCTTATTAACCAACTCAAGGAAGTTACTCCAGCAATACAAAACTCCATATCAGAGTGTACAAATAAGGTGAACAACATCGCAGCCAATCTACCTCCAATGAACAGATTTCATGGCCGGTCAACATCACCTATTAAAGCACAGAATATTGGGAGGATGGTAATTATTCATGATTTATTTTCCTTGACGGTAATCTCACTTGGTCCTTGGATATGGGTGAACTGGTGAAGTTTTGCAAACCTTTGCTTTAATTTTGGCTATTGATCTAAGCTTTAGAAATGAAACAGAACAAGTTACTCTTGCAAATATGATTATATCTGTCCCTTCTAAGACATCCAATAAAATGGTAATGCAATTATATGGTAAAACTCTGGTTCAGTATAATTGCGTATGGTAGCAGAGGTGAATTACCGGAGAAAAGAAAGGGAAAAAAGAAGAATAAGATTATGGGGTCTTGCTCTGAGAGGATAGTCTCTCCACACCAAGTCTAAGGATCTGTTTTCCTCCTCCTTGTGCCAATGGAGAGGCTGGTTCGTCTAATAGCCTCAAAATTACTTGGAGTACCATATCTTTGTCAGAAAATTGGGGAGGTCCTGCATTATAAACGATGGGTGCAGGGATTTTATAAGTTGGGAGACATGAAAATTGGGATGAATCTGAACTTCAAGGGGTAGTTCTGACATATAATATCTGCTCCATGTTTCTGAGAAATTTTAATGGGACTTGAATTAGTGAGGCTTCGACTTCTGAAATACCATATCACTAACTTCCATCCCTTCGTTCATACCTGCTTGATTCTTCATTTGTGCCTGTGCTTCCTCTAAATTCACTTTCAGTCCTGCCATTATCATATTTCTTGTTGAGTTTCTCGTTAACTTCCTCACCCCCAAAATGATCATCCTCAATCTTGAAAAGAGTAGGGGGGTCTTTGCTATATTGAGCTTTAAAAGGACTCATGCCCGTTGATCAATCTAAAGTGGTATTGAACCAATATTCAGTCCAAAACTTACTCTATGGACTTAGGCAATCCACAGAAATACTTCTCTAATAAAAACTTTCAGGTACATGCCTACATCTTTGGCTTAAAAAGGGTGTGGTAGATGCATACAAATGAGCTTCATAACCATCACCAATATGATAGTATCATATCTGTGAGATTTGGAAAAACCAGTAATAAAATCCATTCTGATATTTTAACGTACATGCTGAGGTAGATATGAGTGAGGGCTATAAGAGACCAGATGGGCTCAATGCCTTTGTATTTGTTGTATTGGCGAACATCACATTTGACAACCTATATGCACATCTTTCTACATACCTAATAATTCAGTCAACCTTCTATATGTTTGGAAAAATCTTGAGACCTCCGAGTCATTAATCATGAAACCCCTTTTGAGTAATGTGGGAGTTCAAGTAGATACCTAAAGAATCACAAAACAGCCATGTAATTTTCTGTAACTGACAGAGGTCCGTGATATCTTGCCAAGATATATGGAATCCTGCATTTTTTTTTTTCAGTACCTTCGTAATATGAGTCTGATTTTTCTATTTTCTATTTGGAAAAATTAATCTTTTAGTCCTCCAACTTTTAAATTACTTGTAATTCAGTCCCTCAACTATGACTCGCTGTGACTCAGTCCCTTAATTATAACTCGCCTATGACTCAATCCTTCAATTTTTGAATCACTTATAAATTAGTCCCTTAACCTTTGTTAATTTTTTTTTCATGTTAACTTATATATCACATTAATTAATAAGAAGAGGGTATTTTAAAATAATATATGAGCATTTTTTTATTCCTCTTATTTGATAATTTTAAAAAAAAAATTAAAAAATGAGGACTGAGTTATAGGTAAATCAAAAGTTGAGGGACTGAGTTGCAGCAAGTTATAGTTGAGGGACTGAGCCGCAGCGAGTCATAATTGAAGGACTGAGTTACAAGTGAGTTAAAAGTTGAAGGACTAAAAGATTAATTTTCCCTTTCTATTTTTAACAAGATTTTTGGGTTATTCAGGACTATGGCATTGATGATGTTGATGAGGTGACTTCGAGAATATCCAATGTTCAGATTGACAAGGTGTGTGCTAGTCCTCCCACTTTAAAGCTTCCTCAATTAATAAGCTTGATCCCTTCTTCTGGGAAAGCTGGAAGCTTGTTGAGGCGGCAGGGTACAGTTCCTCAAGTCAGTCAAACTGAGAATCTTATTGATAGGAAATCCTTGGTTCCTCCTTCAAGTGCTCAAGTAGAGAGTTTACCAGAAGGTTTGCCTGACGTTTTTCATTATATTGAAGGTTTGAAGTTTCTGTAGGGATTTTTTTTTTCACTGCATTGGAGACAAGCTGTCTGGAAATGGCATTAATCTTATTTATGTTTTTGCAGGTAGTGATATTTCCTATGTCCAGAATTTGAAGAGGTCAGTGAGAGAAACTGCACTGCTATTGCGGGCATGCAATTCAGTATCTTCACGAGACAGTCATTCTGATGGAAGTTCTGGGCACTTCTTTGCTTGTCTTTCAGAAACTGAACTTTCTCATTTAGATGCAGAAAGGACAGTTTCATCGAGAAGTAAAATGTCATTTGCATCTGAAATGGACGATTCTCTGCTTGAAAGTCATGCTTCTAATTATCTTGAGAAGAGCAAGTCAGATGAATTTTCAGATATGTTTAACGATTTGGATAGACCTTCTGATTATGACAATGTAAATGGGATTCTCTCATATACCGGCTCAAATGCATCTTCTGATGCACAATGGTCAGCCTATGACTTAGAGGATGCTCAGGGTCAAGTCTTCTCACCACCTCTGCTAACGGAATCATCGCTTTTAGCAGATTCATTTGAGGACTTGCTAGGTATGTCAAGTTAAGCTCACTGTTTCGGTGGCTATCTCGGTATATTTTAATGTAGGAGGAAAATTCCGGTATAGCTGTTATAAAAAAAAAAAAAAATTAGGATGAAGACTTTATCCAATGCTCATTGGATTTGAGATGCATTTGGCAGTTTCACTACCATTCTCCCCTCAATATTTTCTGTCTGCGAAAGAAGTATCTTTCCATGTTTTAAATAATCTATGAAGCATTGATGCTACAAAATTTGTGTCATACTTTGTCTGCCACATCAGGCATGGCACTTGCATTTAGACGTTAAATTTTCTGTTGTGTTTTAGTGTCCTTGTTAGTATCAATACGTAGAGCATAATTATTAGTATCAACATGTTAATATTTTGCTTCTTCTGTGCAGCTCCCCTCTCGGAGACTGAAACAGCCAGGATGTGGGGCACTGATTCTTTGTAGTTTGGGTGACTCTGAATGAGGAGATTGCATCAATACGTGACTGTAGTGGTAGGTTACTATTCATGCCTTTGGTGGGATTCAGTGGGCCGCCTGAAAATGTTTGAAATGTATACTCTTTTCGTTAAAAAATGTAAGGTATTTTTAACCGAATTTTACCTCTCAATAAAGTTATCTACTTTTCAATTAACTTTATCTTTTCATATTTACCTCCTATTAAACACTCTACAATAAATATAAAGTCATTATCAATTGGGGCATTTTTGAAAAAAAAGGTAATGATTACACCTCGAAAGATTAAAAATGCCTTACATTTTTAAACATTCAACTCTTTAAAAAATGTCTTATATTTTTTAATAGAGGAAGTATGTAGTTAAGCTATTCATATAATGCCTCACCTTTTTATGTTTGGGGCTATTGACTGGGTTGGGTAGGAGAAGCACATTAAGCAAATTCTAACGCTCATTACAATTTATTACACCATTATTTCCACCACAGTATCTTATATATACAATACATGGCATGGTTTTATATGTGAGTAGAAAATTGTGGGGCGTTAAAATTAAATAGTAAACAACAAAGAATAGCACTTGTATATCCAATATGTGTTATTATTTATTAGAGAAGATCATATAACATAATAAATCAAATTCTGAATATGATTAAAATGAGCTTAAGTTATTTTTAGAGTTAGTGATCATTTTTGCTCCTTGATTATATGTGAAAAGTCATTGGATATTTTAAACTTAATTATGGATCATTTATATCTCAATTTCAAAGAGTGTTTGTTCCATCACCTTATTGTTTTTTCTGTCCATCTTTTTTGGTTAATAGGGCTCACATTTAAATTTTTTATATTAATATAAAATATTGCATGGTGGGTCCCACCAATGTTTTTATTATAAAACTCTCTCACTCCCCCCTAATTCGACCAAGATCTCTATTTTCACCACTAGTTTCTGTGCCTTGTCTTAGCTTGAGTCACCTTATGTCCATAGTTGAGTTCGCTAAGCTTTAAGTCAACCACCATGAACACCTTTCCATCATCATCCTCTTTATCAAATAATTGTTTGACCAAATTATTGACACCTACACCCACTCCTTCACCTCATCTTCCTTACTAAATTGTCCTCACTTCACTATCCTTCCTCCACATCTCGTTGTCCTTAACCTTATTAACTCTTACTCTCTTGATCTATCTTTCATCTTGTACTCTCTCATTGAAAGCCAAAAGCTCAACGTTAGAGATGTTGTGTCAAAACTCACCTCAAGCCCAGACTCACCTTGGCTTGTTGGGTTCATGATTGACATGTTTTGCACCACCATGATAGACGTGCCATGCTTAGGAATGTTGATATGACTATGTTTAACTTCAAGGATTTAGGCTCTAAGTTTGCTATCCTGAGTTTTGAGAGCTATGTCCTTGCTTGTGTTTTCTTGAATGTTATACTGGACCAGGAGTGGGTGACATTTTTCTTCAACCATGCAAGCAGGATCAAGAAAGCAAAATGTGTTATAGTTAACACATTCGAGGAACTTAAGTGCTATGCTATGTAGTCTTTCTTCAACAACAATCTCCAACAATTGCTAAATCTAGTTTCACCCTCTCTCTCCTCCCTACTTTCTCTCTCCTTCATCCCCTCTTTGCCACGTTGAGCATGCTTGACATTCAAGCTCGACTCCCTTGCACCTTAGCCCTCCATCAAACCATGAAGTCAATTTCAATGGTACACTCTTTGTTGGTGCACTGTTTATACTACTCAAGTTAGCTCCACGGTCTCCAAGAATTCTCAACTCTAAAAATGATTCAATGACCATTTTAAAGTTACATCCAAACAAGCTAAGTATGTAATTGCATACAAAGTTTGATTAACCTAGCAATGTATGTTTATATAACTAATAAATAACATGACTTGCTTGTTTTAATATATATATATATATATAAAAGGGGCCATGCGTATCAATTATATTAGTTAAGAAGTTTTTGAGAGTTTTAAACACCTCTCTATCTCGATAAAACAAAATTTCAAGTTGTTTCATAAAAAAATCTCAAGCTAGGATATGCTCAATAGAGTATGTATACATCCACACACCTCATGATCTCCATTACTACTTGCAAGGAAACATATGTGTATATTTAATAGTTGAAGATAGAGAACAAACAAAAGGGTTGCATTGTTATATTGATATCTTTGTTTCAAAGAAAAAAATGAGGGAGAACAGAGACGCTTTACTTCTTCAAAAAGGACATGAGCTCAACAACATCGCATGCATGTAGGGTCCTTCACATGGAGGAGAGAGAAAGTGGGAAGTGGAGGACAAGGAGAAGGAGTAAGAGTGATGCCATCACCCACAATAATTTAGTCTTGGTAGGTTGCTCATTTCGATTCTTCCATCTTGGAAGTCTCTTACATATTTCCTCGCAGTTTAGCTTCTCTTAGTTTAGTGTAGGCTTTGTATTTGGGACCTCACTCCACAATGAAGCTATTGATAGTGGTGAGTTTGTGAGGAACAAGGTGATCGGAGGTTGAATTTTGATTGAAGATGAGAGAAATGAGGTCGAGAGTATGGAAGAGAGCTCGAAGAGACTGATGGGGAGAGAGAGGGAGTGAAGGGGGGGAAAGAGTAGGCAGAGATGGAGGAGAGAGAGGGGTATTTTTATATTATAAAAAATAAAAAATGGTAAGACCTATTAAAAATATTAAAAAATTTAAATATAAAACTCACATAATGATAGAATTGGGAGAGTTAACCTCGTGGAACGAAGGCAACAAATTTGTAAGTTGAGAGACAAAATTAATATCAAATTAAGTTTTAAGGTCCTTAATGACCTTTCGTGTATAGTTGAGAAATAAAAATGATTCTTAAATTGTTATTTTTAGTAATATGGATTCAAATCTTGTATAAAGCATCTACTATATTAATTGAAGTGACTTGAAAGTTTTAACATGACATAATATTAGAAAAGAACAAATCTTCAAAGTCTCTTAATTCTTGAGAGTAATACATCATTGATAGTTTATGTTAAAAACATGCGGTAGACTACAAGTAAAGATTGGCTTTGAGAATTCTAACAAAAAAAAAAAAAGGATTGGCTTTGAGAAACATAATTCAACAATTTGTAAGAAGGGAAAATTACTAATGAGTCTCTCCTTGAAGTCAAAAATATATTAAAGGACGAAAGGATCAAGGTGCAAGTAAATAGGTTTGGAATTTCATGATTATCTGCTTGCATTATAACCCTTTAGTTCTCAAGCATAATTTTAGTTCCATGAAGGATTTACAAGCAATTTTCCCTTGTAAGAATTTACTTTGACTTTTGTTTATTTACTGTGTAAAGTTGATCTTTTTTAATAAGAAACTTATAAATACAATAGAATTTATTTTCTCTTCTACGTTGTATATTTTTAATTATATAAATATACATATTTAGTATTATTATCAATATCATATTATATGTAAATTTAATAATTATATAATATATTTTCATAAGATAAAAAAATTAGCTATTTTATTATAAATTTTAATTTTTATAATAACATCTAACATAGTTTTAATTAATAATTTTAAAATACAGCGTCTTTTTTTTTTCTTGGACGAAAATTTAAAATACAATGTCGGTTCGAAAGATTAGGGTATAAGGGTACTATGCAAGACAACTATTGCGTCCCGCCAACTCTTAAAATTCGTACTCAAAGTGGCCTCACTCTTGCTTTGTCCTTTTTATAGGGAAATTGACAATTATAAACTTCATTTCCTTTAAAAAAAATTGGAAACTTTAGAAGAAAATTAAGGATTTTAAAATTTAAAAGTTTTATTTTCTTCAAAAAAAATTAAACTTTCACTTGAAGATTATAATTTTTTATTTATATAAAAAATACTATGTATTAAAATGCTCTGGCTAACTTAAAAAGGCCCTGATTTTCATCAACAATATAAACTTTTTTTTAATTGAGCTTCCATGGTCTTCTACAAAAAAAAAAAAAAAACACATTGATGTAATATTATCAAGATAATAAAGCTTAGCTGAAGAACTTTAAAATTATAGTGCCTGTTTGGATAAGCAAAATAATAGATTTCAAAAGCTTAAACCATGGTTTTGTTAAAAAAAAAATCCCCAAACATTTTCTATTTTCAAAAAATTGTACTAGTTTGCCATGGCTAACTAAATATTGACACACTCGTTGTGGTGGATATTACTTTTGCAGCGGCCAACCCTATGTTGACACATATACCGCGACTTATGGCATAGAGACCTTTTCACTGTAGCCCACAGACTTCCTTGCCGCAACCAACACAAACATACATATTCACCATATTCTGACCTGTTGTTCACCACGATGAATTCCGCAATATCAATACAGTAACATTAATAGTAGGAACACCATTTCCAAATAAATATAAGTAATTTAAATGCATGCATAACCTACTTTAAAATTAATACATCAAATTATGACAAGAAGTAATGTTCATCAACCATGTTAATACATTTGCATGGATAGTCTTTCCCAAGACATAAGATCAAAACATAGGCTTATACAATTGAAACATGATCAAAACTTGTACAAATTCCTAATGTTAGCAATAGTAAATATTCAATTACATAAACTAAATAGCAAGAGACTTTACTTATATAGTTAAGCATCTCTAGTCCTTGATATTAATAAATGGGAGTGAGATTATACAATCTCAGAAACCAAGGCACAAAAATTCAAGTGCATAAAAGTGTGACAAATACAAGTATTTAAGGTACAATTTCACGTCTTCCAATCCATCGATAGTCAACATATATCATAATACTACTTATTATTAATCACATGACATTCAACTTAATGAAAACAAACATACATGATCATATGAAATCATCTTTATTTTTCTCCTTATATCTTCTAACTGAATCTATGAGCTATCAAATCATATAGGACTAACCCGTGTGACCAGATTAGGCCCACTCTCCAATTGTGAAGGGTTACTTGGCCCAGGTATTCGGTCACCACTCTAGAACCATGGATTCCCTATATTCAAATTTTGAGGTGTCATAATTGCTTGACATACATCGACCTTGTATGAATTGGTGATAGTTAACATCGTGCCTAACACATGCCATACCTACAGGTTATTAGCAATGCTAAGCACGTTTAATAATTAGTTATGCCATCCATTGTGTGCAAATTTAATGGAATCCATACT